ATTGATAATTCCGGCGCCTGTAGGCCCGAAAAATTATCAGCATAGCTCTGTCAAGAAATTACACACTGCAACACGATTGAGTTTGTTATGAGTGAGAAATTTCAGCTTCTAAACTGTCCAACAAAATTCAAGATTCGAAAATATCAGAATATCCAGAAATGAAAGAAAAAAAATTTAAAATGAGACAATGTGCAAAAATTTCACTGCGGCCTGCAAAGCCCATCGCGAACTGTCATCACTCTCATCACTCTCATCACTCTCATCACTCTCATCGCTCTCATCACTCTCATCACTCTCATCACTCTCATCACTCTCATCACTCTCATCACTCTCATCACTCTCATCACTCTCATCACTCTCATCACTCTCATCACTCTCATCACTCTCATCACTCTCATCACTCTTATCACTCTCATCATTCTCATCACTCTCATCACTCTAATCATTCTCATCACTATCATCACTCTCATCACTCTCATCATTCTCATCACTCTCATCACTCTCATCACTCTCATCACTCTCATCCCTCTCATCACTCTCATCCCTCTCATCATTCTCATCATTCTCATCATTCTCATCACTCTCATCACTCTCATCACTCTCATCACTCTCATCACTCTCATCACTCTCATCACTCTCATCACTCTCATCACTCTCATCACTCTCATCACTCTCATCACTCTCATCACTCTCATCACTCTCATCACTCTCATCACTCTCATCACTCTCATCACTCTCATCACTCTCATCACTCTCATCACTCTCATCACTCTCATCACTCTCATCACTCCCATCCCTCTCATCACTCTCATCACTCTCATCATTCGCATCACTCTCATCACTCTCATCATTCTCATCACTCTCATCACTCTCATCAATCTCATCACTCTCATCACTCTCATCCCTCTCATCGCTCTCATCATTCTCATCACTCTCATCGATCTCATCACTCTCATCACTCTCATCCTTCTCATCACTCTCATCACTCTCATCAATCTCATCACTCTCATCACTCTCATCCCTCTCATCGCTCTCATCATTCTCATCACTCTCATCGCTCTCATCACTCTCATCACTCTCATCATTCTCATTACTCTCATCTTTCTCATCACTCTCATCACTCTCATCACTCTCATCGCTCTCATCACTCTCATCAATTCTGCACTCTCATCACTATCATCACTCTCATCCCTCTCATAACTCTCATCATTCTCATCATTCGCATCACTCTCATCACTATCGTCACTCTCATCACTCTCATCATTTTCATCACTCTCATCACTCTCATCACTCTAATCACTCTCATCACTCTCATCACTCTCATCACTCTCATCACTCTCATCATTCTCATCATTCTCATCACTCTCATCAATCTCATCACTCTCATCACTCTCATCACTCTCATCACTCTCATCACTCTCATCACTCTCATCACTGTCATCACTGTCATCACTCTCATCACTCTCATCATTCTCATCACTCTCATCACTCTCATCACTCTCATCACTCTCATCACTCTCATCACTCTCATCACTCTCATCACTCTCATCACTCTCATCACTCTCATCACTCTCATCACTCTCATCACTCTCATCACTCTCATCACTCTCATCACTCTCATCACTCTCATCACTCTCATCACTCTCATCACTCTCATCACTCTCATCACTCTCATCACTCTCATCACTCTCATCACTCTCATCACTCTCATCACTCTCATCACTCTCATCACTCTCATCACTCTCATCACTCTCATCACTCTCATCACTCTCATCACTCTCATCACTCTCATCACTCTCATCACTCTCATCACTCTCATCACTCTCATCACTCTCATCACTCTCATCACTCTCATCACTCTCATCACTCTCATCACTCTCATCACTCTCATCACTCTCATCACTCTCATCACTCTCATCACTCTCATCACTCTCATCACTCTCATCACTCTCATCACTCTCATCACTCTCATCACTCTCATCACTCTCATCACTCTCATCACTCTCATCACTCTCATCACTCTCATCACTCTCATCACTCTCATCACTCTCATCACTCTCATCACTCTCATCACTCTCATCACTCTCATCACTCTCATCACTCTCATCACTCTCATCACTCTCATCACTCTCATCACTCTCATCACTCTCATCACTCTCATCACTCTCATCACTCTCATCACTCTCATCACTCTCATCACTCTCATCACTCTCATCACTCTCATCACTCTCATCACTCTCATCACTCTCATCACTCTCATCACTCTCATCACTCTCATCACTCTCATCACTCTCATCACTCTCATCACTCTCATCACTCTCATCACTCTCATCACTCTCATCACTCTCATCACTCTCATCACTCTCATCACTCTCATCACTCTCATCACTCTCATCACTCTCATCACTCTCATCACTCTCATCACTCTCATCACTCTCATCACTCTCATCACTCTCATCACTCTCATCACTCTCATCACTCTCATCACTCTCATCATTCTCATCACTCTCATCACTCTCATCACTCTCATCACTCTCATCACTCTCATCATTCGCATCACTCTCATCACTCTCATCACTCTCATCACTCTCATCACTCTCATCACTCTCATCACTCTTATCACTCTCATCACTCTCATCACTCTCATCACTCTCATCCCTCTCATCACTCTCATCACTCTCATCATTCGCATCACTCGCATCACTCTCATCACTCTCATCACTCTCATCACTCTCATCACTCTCATCACTCTCATCATTCTCATCACTCTCATCACTCTCATCACTCTCATCACTCTCATCACTCTCATCACTCTCATCACTCTCATCACTCTCATCACTCTCATCACTCTCATCACTCTCATCACTCTCATCACTCTCATCACTCTCATCCCTCTCATCACTCTCATCACTCTCATCACTCTCATCACTCTCATCACTCTCATCACTCTCATCACTCTCATCACTCTCATCACTCTCATCACTCTCATCACTCTCATCACTCTCATCACTCTCATCACTCTCATCACTCTCATCACTCTCATCACTCTCATCACTCTCATCACTCTCATCACTCTCATCATTCTCATCACTCTCATCACTCTCATCACTCTCATCACTCTCATCACTCTCATCCCTCTCATCGCTCTCATCATTCTCATCATTCTCATCATTCTCATTACTCTCATCACTCTCTTCACTCTCATCACTCTCATCACTCTCATCATTCTCATTACTCTCATTTTTCTCATCACTCTCATCACTCTCATCACTCTCATCACTCTCATCACTCTCATCATTCTCATCACTCTCATCACTCTCATCATTCTCATCACTCTCATCACTTTCATCACTCTCATCACTCTCATCACTCTCATCACTCTCATCACTCTCATCACATTAATCACTCTCATCACGCTCATCACTCTCATCACTCTCATCAGTCTCATCACTCTCATCACACTAATCACTCTCCTCACTCTCATCACTCTCATCACTCTCATCACTCTCATCACTCTCATCACTATAAAAGTATGCACCAAACGTCTTTCAAGTCTGAGATGGTTCAAATAACAATCAGAAGCCCTCAAATGACTATGTTTGGCCTGTGGTTCCTAGGGCCTACAGATTACTTGTATCCTCTGGGTCCCTAGAGAGATTGGCAATGTTCGACGATTAATTTGCCATACCAGCAAGAAACACTTCAGTTCAGTGTTCTTCCAATGGTTGCAATGTAGAGTAAGGTAATAACTTATTTGTTTACGCTGTAAATGCATAATTTTTCAAGATTAAAAGACTTTGGTTGACTTACTTTAAACAGACATTAACTAAGGACGTCACTCGGAAGAGCCCGAAGGCTTTAACACAGGTAATCTTTTTAAAAAATTTAAGGGCTGATGCAAGCACTGTCTTAGGGTGTTATGTAGTACACTTTTTCCCGAGCTTGAACTTTGTTTCACCCCACATTAGATTCTTAGCAGACGGTAGCGTTTGTTGTGGGTGTGGCTTAGTCTTTGAAGTATCGTGTTTACTACCGACTTCAAATTAAACATGGTTAGTATGTCTACTAGTATCTTATGGAACGTTATCGATTCTATTAGAAAAGTAAGGGCGTTTCTAAACGCGTCGGTAGACCCACATATATAAAGGATTGGCGTGCACGGAGAGAGAGAGAGATTCGGATAGATATTCTTAACTTTACGAGACGTGTATTATTCTTTGTGTGCTCATATGTGTTTATTTCGCATACATCATTCATCATTATTAATTGGTACATTGTACTACTTGTGTAACGGTACAAAATGTTCCAATACTCTGTAAGTTGATCGTTTATTAATTATATTTCTTTTTATTTGTAATCGTATTATTACTAAATTAAATCTTATTAATTGTAATTGATACTTTTTTGGGTGCCGTATTTTTGTTATTGTATTTCTCTATGGCATCGTCCTTTGTTAGGCACTGTTTGAACGAGCCATACATTTAAAATAGGAGATGAATTTCTCACAATAAAAGCCAGTGCGTAACACTGGGTATGAGCTACGCCGGAAATAATCGATATTCTCGAGTATCTTTTCCCATTTCTGTTACCAATTGTGTTAATAAGTTCACCAATGGCTCAATTACTTTTACATGATATGCACATCACCAAATAAAACCTGTTTAGCCAGCCACAAACACCTTACCCGCTTCATCATAACAAAATGGTTAATAGAATATAATAAATTGGTCAGACCATGCGATATGCAACATATCAGATTGCAAGTTACGGACATCTGTAAAGACGGTAAATATTTTACTTGTTTTTTTTTCTTTTTATTGCTCAGTAATTTTAAAGAAATGTTTTTGACGTATAGATTTACTTTTTCTTAGATGCTCTGTCTGTACAACCTTGTAGTCTAGTTATGATTGCAATTAGTTTTTAAAAATGTAAACAAACAAACAGACTGAACATTTTCTTAAGATTTTATCAAAAACGTATTTTTTAAAAATCATTTGATATTACTACATTGTTTATTGTGTCTTATTTGGTGTAGACAAACTAGGGCTTATTTGTGATATGTTATTTTCTATCTGTTGTTGTTGGTATATATGATAATTATATCATTATCGTCTTTGAAGGAAGCTCCCGAATTTCATCATCCAATTCTTCATCAGTTACTTCAAAGTTTTCAATTGTTCTTGTAACTCATTTGTTGCATGGCTCTCAACACTTGTGTGTGTGACCCGATGGACTTCATCCTTGTACTGAGACGTTACATCCTAAGTGCTGCAGTGGTCTTCGTTTGACAGGCGTCTTGAGTACATTAACCTTGGGAAAATAATGATGATACTAGGCGAACGACAGCCGTGCCTAACAGGGCGGTACCTTTGGGATAGAAGAAAAAACAATTGATGATACTAGGCAAACGACAGCCGTGCCAAACAGGGCGGTACCTTTGGGATAGAAGGAAAACCAATTGATGATACTAGGCAAACGACGGCCATGCCTAACAGGGCGGTACCTTTGGGATAGAAGAAAAAACAATTGATGATACTAGGCAAACGACAGCCATGCCTAACAGGGCGGTACCTTTGGGATAGAAGAAAAAACAATTGATGATACTAGGAAACGACAGCCGTGCCTAACAGGGCGGTACCTTTGGGATAGAAGAAAAAACCATTTGATGATACTAGGCAAACAACAGCCGTGCCTAACAGGGCGGTACCTTTGGGATAGAAAAAAAAACAATTGAGGATACTAGGCAAACGAGAGAGCAATAATTATTTTGAAAAGTAATTCTGTGAGAGCCATACATTATGTTTATAACTAAAAGTTCAAGTAATTTTGTGTAATTTCAACACCAAAAATGCAATAATTATGTCTCTGAATTCTTTTTAATAACATTGTTATGCTGCAGCTAATCAATACTGAGTATATTTTACAATCAATGCGACTTTTTTTATTTTTTAAATCGAACATTTTTCTGCTAGCCTGATGCAGCCATCAATAGAGCCACATCTAGCTCGCGAGCCATAGGTTCCCGAAACCATAGACCATGTAATATTGTGGAGACTAATTGACATGACTGTTCATGTACCTACGAAAACAATCCATTTTCTTGTAAATAACGCCCATATCTACTCTCGAAACAAAACCTTTTAAATCAGATTATACGGTTGCTATCATCAAGTGACCTTTGTCCTTTTCTAAAGTCAGTCAGATATTTATGGCAGTTCTTTCCAAACTGTGTCCGTACAAGGTGTAGGTGTGTCCTTGCAAGGTTTAGGTGTGTCATTGCAGGGTTTAGGTATTGGAACACACTTTCTGTCGCTCTCAGAAACAGCCAGTCACTGGAGTCTTTCCAAACTGATTTGAAGACATATCTATTTCGCAAACATCTGCTGGGATCATGTTGTCTATCTAGCTATTATCTTGTGGATTAGTATTGGCCTGTGTTGTTTATGGTTGTTAGGTATGAAAGACTTAGAATGGGTATTCTTGTATACAGTTTTTGCAATGTTACATTTTGTATTTCATTTCCCTTTAAATATACTAGACCAGGCCTGCACAATTCAAAATGCCAGGTTGGCCGTAATGCATTATGAAAAACTTGTGCGGGGCAAAAGAATATAGGACAGGACTTGTGCGGGCACAATATATAGGTCAGGGGGAAAGCTTTCAAGAAAATAATAAGAATAACGAGTTTTTCGATACATTGCGGGCCGCAAAGTGGGTGCTTGCGGGCCACATGCAGCCCACGGGCCGTATGTTTTGCCGGCCTTTACTTGACTATGTACCGCGCTTCGAGCCTTTGGGGATGAACCATGATTTTTAAAATAACCTTTATTATTATTAGTATGTCCCTGCAGGATTTAGGTATGTTCCTGTAGGGTGTAGGTGTATCCTTGCAGGGTATAGTTTTGTCCGTGCAGGGTATAGGTGTGTCCGTGCAGGGTATAGGTGTGTCCGTGCAGGATTTAGGTGTGTGCGTGCAGGGTATAGGTGTGTCCGTGCAGGGTATAGGTGTGTCCGTGCAGGGTATAGGTGTGTCCGTGCAGATTGTAGGTTTGTCCGTGCAGGATATAGGTGTGTCCATGCAGGGTATAGGTGTGTCCGTGCAGGGTATAGGTGTTTCCGTGCAGGTTGTAGGTGTGTCCGTGCAGATTGTAGGTTTGTCAATGAAAGGTGTAGATTTTTCTGTACATGGTGTTGGATGAAGGTGTGTCCCTGCAAGGTGAAGAGGTATGTCCGTGAAGGGCGCAGGTGTGTCTTTTCAGGGTACAGGGCGTCGCTTGCAAGGTACATGTATGTCGCTTGCAGGAGTAGCTGTGTCACGTGAAAATGAGCCATACAAATATTCCAAACTATTTTGAAATGTAAAATAAATCAAAAGGAGGTGTCTCAAGCAGTGCAGTTGATAATACCATATTAAAAGTAGATCTCATCAGTTAAGATTGTTTTGTCAATATGTGTCAAGAGATTGGGTAAAAGTTTGAAAGTCTGATACGACACACATGAAATTGTTGGCTCCGACGAGCTGTGTGCTGGCAATGTTAACGTATTCAAGGAAAGTGTGCTCACGTCGTTGGAAGGAAACCAATCAACATGAAAGGTGTGATCTAGTTTAAGATATCTTGTATATATTTTTCAACATTCAGATCAAATAAAACCACTGACACGCAAGGAGTGTGTATCACCTACTGTGGAAGATCAAATGTGTCTTATGAGGTTCGGTAACAAATATGAATTTTCTAAATGGAACATTAAATAGTAATAGTTTGAAATGTATTCCAAGAGATATGTGTGCTTGCTAAATGTGATGATTAACAACCATAACACACGAGGGGGAAACACTCTTGACCTACTCCTCACCAACTGTCCTCATCTTACCTCAAAATTTAAGGTCATCCCCGGGATATAAGACCATAGCATACCATATTGTGAATTTCATGTCAACACACTAAAAAAGAAACAGATTATTCGAGAAATCCCAATTTATGCCAAGGCAGACTGGGATGGCCTGAGGAGTGCAACGAAAGAGCTGAGCTCAAACATGCAGGAGATTCAGGGTACAGTGATAACAGAAGAGCTGTGGGTGAAGTTTAAGACAACAATCACTGATGCAGTGAATCAATTCATACCACACAAGACCACCAAACCTGAGATAAATCAGCCATGGGTCACGGCTGAAATCCGTAGGCTCATCCACAGGAGAGGAGACCGCCAGTACAAACGCATGAAGAGGAATGGCTCGATTGAACTGAGAGAGGAGGTACTGAGGCTCAGCCGAACGTTTATTCCCCAGATGTTATTGGAACTACCTGAACGGCATCTTCTCAGAGGAAGACAACCCAACAAAGGGTGTCAAGAACAAGCCCTTCTAAAGCTATGTGAAGTACCAAACGTCCTTAAACGCTGGAGTCTCCCCCCTGATGTAGGTTAGCCATTTTACATCCGAGCCAAAAGCACAGGCTGACATACGCAATTAGAAGTTCCAGTAAGTCTTCGGTGACGGTAGATAGTACTCGGAGGCGTACTCGCAGAGTTCCTCCTGAAGACCAAAGTGATGAACAGAGCCTACCCTGTCATGCAAGATTTCCAGGTATAAGAGCAAGGCGTGCTTGCCCTCCTCAAAACCATTAACCCCTACAAAGCATGTGGTCCTGACAACATCAACCCACGAGTGCTCAAAGAATCAGTTAAAAAAATCGCTCCTGCACTGACAATCCTCTTCCAATCACCACTGTGCACAGGAAATATTCCAGCAGACTGGACAAAAGCGCATATCCATCCAATCTACAAGAAAAGGGAGCATTCTGACCCTGCCACCTATCGTCTGATAAATCTTGGAGCACATAATCCTAAGCACAGTCATGAAACATCTTGAAAGCCAAAATATACTCAATGGCTTCCGAGTCAATAGATCAATTGTGACACAGCTCCCTGAATTTGTAAAACTTGATGACCAATCTGGTGAACCACAAGCAAAATTACGTGCTGGCGATGGACTTCTTCAAGGCATTTGACAGTATCAATCATAGTTTGCTTCTACACAAAATTCAGAGATATGGGATCCAAAGCAGCACTAAAACAAGGATCTCTAGCTTCCTCAGCCTCCGATACCAAGCAGTAGTGGTGGATGGTACAAGCTCCTCCTTTGTCGGTGTGAAGTCAGGGGTCCCCCAGGGATTATTGCTAGGCCCCTGTTTGTTCCTAGCGTACATGAATGACCTACCCGAGAAACTGACATCACAAGCAAGACTGTTCGCAGATGACACAGTGGTGTATAGGACGATCGCCAACAGATCTGACCCGGACCAGCTACAACATGATCTCAATCGGTTAGCTGATAGGTAGATGGGCTGGGCCATGGATTTTCACCCTGCCAAGTGCCAAACACTATCAGTCTCTAGATGCTGTACTCCTCTACACTACCAATACCAACTGCACCACCATATACTTGAGCCAGTTTCCTCCGTAAAGTACATGGGTGTTACCATTCAAAGAGAGGTCCGCTGGGGCGAGCACATTAACAACATGTGCAACTGGGCAAACAAGACCCCGGGGTTCCTAAGGCAAGATTTTAAGATCGGCAACCCCAGCATAAAATAAAATGCCTTAAAGCCTTTGTCCAGCCGCCTTTAGAGGATTCATCTTTAGTCTGGGACCCATTCACCTAGAAGAGCATCGACAGGTTGGAGGCGGTCCATCGACGGGCAGCACGCCTTGTCCCGAACAGCTACAGGAAAACCTCACGCGATGGCGGCATGCTGGAAACACTGGGCTGGTCACCACTGGAGGCACAACGACGACTATCGAGAAACTCCATGATATACATGATAAAAATGGGCTGGTCCACTGCTCCAACATTAAACAGAAACTCGTCCCTCTTCCCCAAAACATGACGAGGCCATGAGAGACAGTTATGGTCCATTAAAACAAGAACTCCGTACAGAAAGTCCTTACTTCAGCCAAGGCATTCGGGACTGGAACAAGCTTCCAAAAGCAACAGTTGAAGCAACTATTCTTGACACATTTCAATCAATTACCTTCTGTCCTCCAGCCCCCAGTTCATAAAACCTTCGCTGAATAGCCCTTGCAGGCCGTGAAGGATCCCCATCAAAACCATGCACAGTTACCACTTGAAACCCTCTAGAAACATACTAGCAGAGTGATCGATACATTGATCGTGGTCACTCAAAATACAGAAGAAAATAATAAAGAAGGATGTTTACTGAGTACTAATTTACATTAGTAATAAAATTTCATTAACTTAATGTTTCGGCCAGTGTGTTTGTAAAATTAGTTGGATTGACGGTCATATACACTCGGCAAACTGGTCAGACCTACTCATTGTGTTGAGAAATGATGCATGGAATTGTGCATAGAATAATTATGCATTGAATGGAGCATTAAATGATGCATGAAATGGTGCATGGAATGAGGCATGGATGATGCATGGAATGGTGCATGTTTACAAAGTGTGTTACCAGAATACACAGTTTGGAAAGCACTGATGTTTGGATAAAATCTGATGTCATTAAAAATGAAATTTAACTTGTTTTATCACCTTTAAGTTGAACACTTTACACTAATCAGCTGACACCTTTCCACCAATCCAGTGCCCCTTTACCCCAATCAGCTGACCCTTTACCCCAATCAGCTGACACATTTACACCAATCAGCTGACACAATCGGGTAGCTGCTACATAATATAAACCCGCTCCCCATTAGTTTGTAAACGCGAATTTCTACAGTAAATATATTTAAAATAAATGTTTCATCACGTACCAAGTAGAGCAGAGAAGCCTTTGGGGTGGCTCCTGGTGGCTGTAAACGAACAGAAAAAAAAGTGTCAAATCATATATAAGGCATTTTTACAATTCTGTTGATATCTCGACCCACTTCTAAACTGCAATATATATTTTCTTTAAACTTCAATGTGTCCAAGAATTTCTGTTTATCTCAAGAATTGGAAATACTATTTATCTCGGTATGCTTTAAAAATTAGTTGATCTCTGGAACACGTTAGAGTTCTTTGATCAAACCAAACAGTATTAGTTGATCTCTGGAACACGTTAGATTTCTTTGATCAAACCAAACAGTATTAGTTGATCTCTGGAACACGTTAGAGTTCTTTGATCAAACCAAACAGTATTAGTTGACCTCTGGAACACGTTAGAGTTCTTTGATCAAACCAAACAGTATTAGTTGATCTCTGGGACACGTTAGAGTTCTTTGATCAAACCAAACAGTATTAGTTGATCTCTGGAACACGTTAGATTTCTTTGATCAAACCAAACAGTATTAGTTGATCTCTGGAACACGTTAGATTTCTTTGATCAAACCAAACAGTATTAGTTGATCTCTGGAACACGTTAGATTTCTTTGATCAAACCAAACAGTATTAGTTGATCTCTGGAACACGTTAGATTTCTTTGATCAAACCAAACAGTATTAGTTGATCTCTGGAACACGTTAGATTTCTTTGATCAAACCAAACAGTATTAGTTGATCTCTGGAACACGTTAGATTTCTTTGATCAAACCAAACAGTATTAGTTGATCTCTGGAACACGTTAGATTTCTTTGATCAAACCAAACAGTATTAGTTGATCTCTGGAACACGTTAGATTTCTTTGATCAAACCAAACAGTATTAGTTGATCTCTGGAACACGTTAGATTTCTTTGATCAAACCAAACAGTATTAGTTGATCTCTGGAACACGTTAGATTTCTTTGATCAAACCAAACAGTATTAGTTGATCTCTGGAACACGTTAGATTTCTTTGATCAAACCAAACAGTATTAGTTGATCTCTGGAACACGTTAGATTTCTTTGATCAAACCAAACAGTATTAGTTGATCTCTGGGACACGTTAGATTTCTTTGATCAAACCAAACAGTATTAGTTGATCTCTGGAACACGTTAGATTTCTTTGATCAAACCAAACAGTATTAGTTGATCTCTGGGACACGTTGGATTTCTTTGATCAAACCAAACAGTATTAGTTGATCTCTGGAACACGTTAGATTTCTTTGATCAAACCAAAAAGTATTAGTTGATCTCTGGAACACGTTAGATTTCTTTGATCAAACCAAACAGTATTAGTTGATCTCTGGGACACGTTAGATTTCTTTGATCAAACCAAACAGTATTAGTTGATCTCTGGGACACGTTAGAGTTCTTTGATCAAACCAAACAGTATTAGTTGATCTCTGGAATACGTTAGATTTCTTTGATCAAACCAAACAGTATTAGTTGATCTCTGGAACACGTTAGATTTCTTTGATCAAACCAAACAGTATTAGTTGATCTCTGGAACACGTTAGATTTCTTTGATCAAACCAAACAGTATTAGTTGATCTCTGGGACACGTTAGAGTTCTTTGATCAAACCAAACAGTATTAGTTGATCTCTGGGACACGTTAGAGTTCTTTGATCAAACCAAACAGTATTAGTTGATCTCTGGAACACGTTAGATTTCTTTGATCAAACCAAACAGTATTAGTTGATCTCTGGGACACGTTAGATTTCTTTGATCAAACCAAACAGTATTAGTTGATCTCTGGGACACGTTAGAGTTCTTTGATCAAACCAAACAGTATTAGTTGATCTCTGGGACACGTTAGAGTTCTTTGATCAAACCAAACAGTATTAGTTGATCTCTGGGACACGTTAGATTTCTTTGATCAAACCAAACAGTATTAGTTGATCTCTGGAACACGTTAGATTTCTTTGATCAAACCAAACAGTATTAGTTGATCTCTGGGACACGTTAGATTTCTTTGATCAAACCAAACAGTATTAGTTGATCTCTGGAACACGTTAGATTTCTTTGATCAAACCAAACAGTATTAGTTGATCTCTGGAACACGTTAGATTTCTTTGATCAAACCAAACAGTATTAGTTGATCTCTGGGACACGTTAGATTTCTTTGATCAAACCAAACAGTATTAGTTGATCTCTGGGACACGTTAGAGTTCTTTGATCAAACCAAACAGTATTAGTTGATCTCTGGAATACGTTAGATTTCTTTGATCAAACCAAACAGTATTAGTTGATCTCTGGAACACGTTAGATTTCTTTGATAACACCAAACAGTATTAGTTGATCTCTGGAACACGTTAGATTTCTTTGATCAAACCAAACAGTATTAGTTGATCTCTGGAACACCTTAGATTTCTTTGATCAAACCAAACAGTATTAGTTGATCTCTGGGACACGTTAGATTTCTTTGATCAAACCAAACAGTATTAGTTGATCTCTGGAACACGTTAGAGTTCTTTGATCAAACCAAACAGTATTAGTTGATCTCTGGAACACGTTAGATTTCTTTGATCAAACCAAACAGTATTAGTTGATCTCTGGGACACGTTAGATTTCTTTGATCAAACCAAACAGTATTAGTTGATCTCTGGAACACGTTAGATTTCTTTGATCAAACCAAACAGTATTAGTTGATCTCTGGAATACGTTAGATTTCTTTGATCAAACCAAACAGTATTAGTTGATCTCTGGAATACGTTAGATTTCTTTGATCAAACCAAACAGTATTAGTTGATCTCTGGAATACGTTAGATTTCTTTGATCAAACCAAACAGTATTAGTTGATCTCTGGAACACGTTAGAGTTCTTTGATCAAACCAAACAGTATTAGTTGATCTCTGGAACACGTTAGATTTCTTTGATCAAACCAAACAGTATTAGTTGATCTCTGGAACACGTTAGATTTCTTTTATCAAACCAAACAGTATTAGTTGATCTCTGGGACACGTTAGATTTCTTTGATCAAACCAAACAGTATTAGTTGATCTCTGGGACACGTTAGATTTCTTTGATCAAACCAAACAGTATTAGTTGATCTCTGGAACACGTTAGAGTTCTTTGATCAAACCAAACAGTATTAGTTGACCTCTGGAACACGTTAGAGTTCTTTGATCAAACCAAACAGTATTAGTTGATCTCTGGAACACGTTAGAGTTCTTTGATCAAACCAAACAGTATTAGTTGATCTCTGGAACACGTTAGATTTCTTTGATCAAACCAAACAGTATTAGTTGATCTCTGGGACACGTTAGAGTTCTTTGATCAAACCAAACAGTATTAGTTGATCTCTGGGACACGTTAGAGTTCTTTGATCAAACCAAACAGTATTAGTTGATCTCTGGGACACGTTAGATTTCTTTGATCAAACCAAACAGTATTAGTTGATCTCTGGAACACGTTAGATTTCTTTGATCAAACCAAACAGTATTAGTTGATCTCTGGGACACGTTAGATTTCTTTGATCAAACCAAACAGTATTAGTTGATCTCTGGAACACGTTAGATTTCTTTGATCAAACCAAACAGTATTAGTTGATCTCTGGAACACGTTAGATTTCTTTGATAACACCAAACAGTATTAGTTGATCTCTGGAACACGTTAGATTTCTTTGATCAAACCAAACAGTATTAGTTGATCTCTGGAACACCTTAGATTTCTTTGATCAAACCAAACAGTATTAGTTGATCTCTGGGACACGTTAGAGTTCTTTGATCAAACCAAACAGTATTAGTTGATCTCTGGGACACGTTAGAGTTCTTTGATCAAACCAAACAGTATTAGTTGATCTCTGGGACACGTTAGATTTCTTTGATCAAACCAAACAGTATTAGTTGATCTCTGGAACACGTTAGATTTCTTTGATCAAACCAAACAGTTCATTTAAAATAATAAATATATTTTAAAAAAACGAAATTTCTTAACTTGCTACATTTAAGAAAAAAAGAATATTTGATTACCTTGACTAATAGATGGTTCTATGCACTCTGGACTTTCTGAAAGATACAATGATCTTATGATGTGTCTTAATTGTCATATTGGGAAGGAATGAGGCTGGATCCTACCGTGATGAAGTCAAGAGAGCTTCCTAAGCGTAATCCCCTTTTTTAATAAGGTTTTTTTTCCCCTCTTGAATTGATATTGTTGGCCAAGCTTCAGTAACCCGTACAAAAGCAGTACCACCCTCCCTTCCACGTCCACAAAACACCATCCTTAAGTGATTTTACTCACAGGGCTTATATAATGTCTGAGCTACGTGTTTCATAGGTCATGACCCCCCCCCCAATGATCAAACGGGAGCCAATTTTAACCCCCCCCCCACCTTATAACTGTAACCCGCGTTGGACCAGACTTCATTCTTTCTCATCTCAACAAACGCATGTAACACATCGCCACTATTTGCGAATTCCTCCATGTGACAAAATCAGCCGGAAAATTTCGATTTCGATTGTTTTACCTAAATAAATTTTAATACTTGACTGAAATATCTATATATATTATTCGTCAGCAAAAGCCAAACAAGACCACGCAGGCTATATATAGATACGCCAGAGCAACACAGAAGCTGGCAAGAGAAGGGAGGGGAGGGTTTGCCGCGGCGTTGGTCTCCAGACATGCGTACTGCGGTGAAGCTAGCGCCCCCCCCCTCGTGCACTACCCTTGCTTGCCAGCCAAGCTCGCGGCGTCTGCTAAGCCGCGGGTCGCGTGTCATGAAAAGGGGCGGGGGAAGGGGTATAGCAAAATTGGCATTCTTAAATGTGCGTAACTTGGGTTCACGTTTTTGTCAAGTAACTTTAGTAGATGGGAAGTTGGGCTACATCTCGCGTGCCAGCCATGCGCTCACCCAAACAAGCTCGCGGCGTATACTACGCGGAGGTCGTACATAAGAATGAGCTTAGGCCAGGGTCATCAACCTGCGGCTCTTTTGATGTCAAGATGCGGCTCTCCAGTTTCATGCTCAAATATTAATAACTATATCGAAATAAAAATGTTAGTGGCTCTTTACAAACTGGGGAATTTTGTAAATTGTAACTTTTGGCTCTTCCGTCTGAAAAAGTTGCCGACCCCTGAGCTAGGCTACATCAAATTACTTAAAACGTAATTAAAACACAAACACTTCCTTCTTTTGAGTGCCATTGCAAATTATGCTGGGCACTCGCTAGTAAATGATATTGTTTTTATCAAATCTCTGGTCAATCTTGAAGACATTAATAATAAAACATGAAGGACTGCGTTAAAGCTTTGTGAAGGAAATAGTAGAACAAGTTTTGTGGAAGTTTGGATCGAAAAACATGACAAAAAAAGATGTAAACTTTTCAGCTAAGAGCCTTCCTCAGCAGACGAGATAAATGAACATAGAACGCAAAAATTGACACAATATAAAAACTTTAAATGATCGCGATTTTTATTCCCGGAATTTGGATTTTACAAAATCAAGATTACAGGAACTGAAAGAATTTATGAATATTTACTGTAAAAATATGATCTTATCTCTTAAGAAAAAAAAATTTTGGAGATATATTAGATATAAGAAAGAAATATCAGTGGACTAAAATGAATAATATCCAATCCTTTCAGATAAAGTCCAAAATTGTCCAGAAAGATCGAACATTTAAAAGTTTAGATCTCTGGCATTTCAAAACTGATTAAAATGGTAAAACTTTTAAACTTTAACTCCATTATGTATCTGAAAGATTTTCTATAAGGCCCTCTCAGGCATAGCTAAAGCGGAATCTTATGTAATGGGCCTCCTTTTAAATTTAAGCGAAAAATGATTATAGTTAAGGCTGAATCTATAGGTACCCGGGTACCTATCATCGCCAATGACAATTCGCACCCGGAGTGGCTCCGTACATATTAAATGGCTTCGAAGCCGGATGTGATAACAATAATAGTATGAGAATTATTTTTTGAAATTGTTTTTTCTCCTTGTTTATTTGATTGATTCATAGTTTTATTATTTTTAGTTGTTTTTTTTATTTTTGCTATGTTAATTTCTCTTAGTACCGGTAGATTTTTTTCTTTCTTATTTTCTTTTTTTTAGTTTAAGCCATTTTCGGAGATCAATTTTTTTTTTTTAAATCGAGTAATGAAGATGATTTAGATACATTTATTGTTTTTATTTGAATTTTAGAAAAGTAATAATATTAATTTAATTATTAAAATTAAATCCTTTATTTAAGATTATTTATGTGTATTGTTAAGTTAAAAGATTTAATCACACAGTACTTTATGAATTAATTAGGTATTCTTAATAATGAAAATTTCATTCATAATGAATTAATTTCAACTATTCCTCTAGAGAGCTTGGCTTAGTCAGAGCAAAACTACCAATTTTAAACCTTTTCCTTGGCACTGGGAGCCATAAATGCGGACACTGACTGTTTTTCCTGATATTTTGAATCTCCTTTCAACAACCTTTCTAATTTGACTTGACCTAATTCACAAGGTAGTTGCAATGAACATCTTAAAGTTAAAGGATGCCATTGTATAAAGTATGAGAAAGAGACTTATTTTTGGAGGACTAGTCTTCTTTTTTTTTTTTTCCATATCTGTCTCCTGGGTCTAACACACTGGTACATAATTTAATAGAAAAAAAACCCTTAACTGACTTGCAAACATTTTTGTTTGGTTGTTAGTTATTTGAGTTGTGTACTCAAGTAATCCATAAAATAAATTAGGGGCCAGTATGGAGTAGGCAGCCATTGAACTCATTCAATTAGGTCACATCATTCCTTTGCCATTTGTCTCCTTTTACTTTCTCACCTTCCTTGTTGGTACCCGTACAGTTAACTATTGTTTGTACGGTATCATTTCTTCATTTAAGTACAGACGTAATGATTGAGTGGGAGCAAATATATGTGATCTGTGAAGGGAGTTTGGTTTCAAGGCAACTAAGTCATGCCACATTGAAAATAAAATACTGATAACCTAAATAAATAGAGCCATTGAAAAAAATACAGTACATACAAACCATACACAAACAGAAAGACAAAAATCCACTAAATTTAAAAAAAAATTTTTGTGACTTTTATTGCAAAAAATTAAACATTTAATACCAATTTTGACTTTACGCAAAATGATTAAAAACAAATTTGTATTGCATTGTATTGTAAATTATTGTACTGTATTGTAAATGAAACTTGGCATACATATTAAGAGTAACATTGACAAAAAGTTTAAAGAAGATTATTACACAGCAGTTATTGGAATTGTTACAAATGGCATGTATGTGGGGGGTCACATAAATATTTGAGAACTCTTCAGGGGTAGCAAATGTAAAAATGTTATAAAACTTTCTAGTTGGATATATATATATAAAAAAAAATCTTGAATTTCGTAAAGAATATCAATGAAAAGAAGCTTGCAATGTTTGAAGGCTGTAGCTAGAATACTTTTCCTCCCGATTCATTTGGCGTTCCTTAAAAAATCAGGAAAATGCAAAATTGAGAAAAATGAAAAAAAATAAATAAATAAAATTGTGTTTTTTTAAATTAGAGGCTGCATGAACGATATAGGATGCATACACCATGTACATATATCCTTCATGATTTAAAAAACAATTCGAAAACTAAGACAGAAAAGATAGGAAAAAAAATTAACACACGAACCTATTAAATAAAATGCATAAATACAAACATTCTCTGAAAACTTTTCCTATGAGACATTTGTTTAAAAACAATCCATCATAAAGTAAAGAATCTCAACATAAATAAGCATGCAAAGTTTCAATTATGTAGTTCCAAAACTATGAGCTGATGAAAAAGAAAGATAATGAGTCAAACTCTTTTTTATTTTGGCATGATAAGACTCCAAGTGATTTGTTGTCGCATGGAGTCTTAAAACATCAGCATTGGATGATGCGGCCCATAAATGGGCCTTACTCCACCAGTTTGACTCAAAATACTCCAAAGCTACATCAGGAAGAGTATCTTTCATGTCTTGCATTAACTTTAAAAATTCATCACACGACTCAGTATAAACTTGAGACATAAATCCTTCAAGAATTGGCTTAACATGCTCAGGACCTACATGTTTCGAAAGAAACCTGTGCACAGCCTGGTTAATGTGAAAATGACATAGATTAACAGGTACATTTGGAAAGAGATCATTTATAGCAGAGATTTCAGCCATGTCTTTGTCAACCACAAAGCACTTGAAAAGACTGGCATCAGAATTCTTCAGAAGAAGCTGCAAACAAAGAGAAATAGATTCCTTATCTTCATTTTTTACAAAATCATGAAGAACAGGAATGCCCCTGCCCTCTCCATCAATAACCATGACAGTCAAAAGTGGATATAAATATTTATTGGTTTTATATGTGAAATCCATTAATAAAACCTCTGGATATTGGGCAATAATTCTAATCATATCATCAGTCATGTATGATAAATACTTAAATTCCCCACTTTCTGTTAGTCCATAGGACACACTTCCACCAGCTTGTGATATAGAATGAAGTATAGATTGAGTTTCAGTTGCATCAGAAGATGATTTATTTATTCTTGACTTAATATTGTAAATGTCCCTGGGAAGCAAATCCACATCATGCTGTTGTTCAAGCACTTGCCGGGCCTCAGATGCCTGAATCGTGGTGCAGGACATCAACAGAAGCGTTGCCGCATTTAGTTCCACCTTGCGGTTTTCCGGATACAAGCGGCACATCTGGAAAAAAAATACACAAAGGTTACTTTGCAATAATAAGTATTATGTAAAAAAAATATGCTCTGCAAACATTATTATTATTAGTGGTCTTATAAAAGGTTCCCTATAAGCTGCGCTGCCGTGCAGCCATCTCACAGGCGCTGCGCAGCAGTTTTGAGTATCAGCACAGCAAATTTCATTCTAAGTGTTTGTTTGTGTTTCTGGACTGTAAAATTTTGCACACAAAAAAATTGATGCTGTAAAACTTTGCACATAACTGTATGATTTTGCACACAAAACAACAAACCTTAGAGGGAACATTGGTCTTATATAGTGCGGTACCCCAGCCTAGGGCTGGGCTCACCGCTGTGTACATAAAAATAACTAACCTTCACCTTGGGGATAAATGTTTTGTTTATTATATGTCACAATAATCAAAATTAAGATATAAAACTCTGTTTGGACTATTTAGAATTTATTAAATTTAATTATACTGTTAAATAGATTTGTCTTAATTTTTTTCAAAACCTTTCTATGGTAAGGGTGGTAACCCTAACCTTAACCAAAAGTTTTCAGTGATAAAATTTCTGAGCGCCCTAGATTGAATGGGTTAATGCATGGTACAAAACATTCTTTTAAAATGCATCCATCTAACCTCTATAGTACTAGAGTACCTGTAGGTGACAACAACCTGCCACAAGAATAAGCTATTTATTATTATTATTATGTAAATATTTTTCGCAGCACATGCACTTACATCTTTTGATACTTCATGGCCAGGATGTTCATGCATTGATTTGGGAATTTCTAGCCGAGACGGATTTCTCTTGGCAACAAGCTTTATCTTTGCCTGGCATCCCAATTTGAAAGAACTGAAAAGTATAAAAATTCTCAACGAATTGCAAAAAGTGGTAAGGGCTAATGTATTTAACGAATGCCACGGCGTCATTTGCTTCTTTATTATAGTTGCAGTGAATTAGGGTTCAGGTTAGCTTGAGAGGTCGATTAAGGGTTCAGGCTAGGCATCGGCATAGGCATAGCATAGTGATCGATTTAGGGATACATTAGTCGCGGCCATTGATAAAATAGTGGCATTCGTCCTCTACATTTACCGTGGTAATAATCATTGGCTTGGAGAAATAATTATTACATGACAAGACCAACTAAATTTAAAGTTAACCTATTATTATTACTTTATTACTTACGCTTGTGATTTTCTTTGGCCTGTTGTCGTTGAAGACTTTGACTTGCGTTTAACGCCTTGTTTGCAACAGTGAATTATATTCATATTTAAGGTGTTCCAAATTGGGATCTTTCATCTTCTCTGACGATCTTTTAGTGAAACACACATTGTGTTCTTTACAAAAATAATTCAATTCGTCTTAAAAAGACGCATAGGTGTCAAAATTGCTGCCAACCTCCATTTTTATAAAAGAAAGCGCGGCAAACTTGTTGATTATTAAGCCTCTCGTTCGGATCATGTTTTTTTTCGATTACTAAGACTTTTGGGTGCGAATAGTCATTGGCGATGATGGGTACTCGGGTACCTATAGCCACTTCGTATAGTTAAAGCATTTAGTTGTAGAGCTTTTTTTGTATTCGTAAAATGATCACGTGGGAGAGCCATTTGTCATGCGTCTATGGTGTGTCTGTGTGTGTGCGATTTTATTTATTTATTTTTTTTTATTTTTTTTTGGGGGGGGGGTAATACAAAATTAAATATATTTTTTTCCAGAAAGTTATATATTTTTCTGTGTGAACTTATTGTTTTATCGGGACATAAAGCTTATGGAAATTTTAATTGAGTTCCATAGATTTCTATTTATTACTGTGAAATTTCTCTGTATCAGAGAATTACAATTTTATGACAATTGATGAAGTCTCCAGATTATTCTAGAAGACTCGATTTTCTTCTTCAAACGTTTTAGTTGATATAAATATCTTTCTAATGTTTATGATCGTTTATTAACTTTCAATGAGTCTCCTTAGATATTATGAAATAAGATTTAAAGATAATTCTGACATTACGCCAAACAAGCTATATGGCAATACAGTGACCAGGCTATATTAAAAGATGGCCAAACAAAGCTACAAACAAACCTTCACTTTTATAGATATGCTGGCCAAATCGCTTGGCCTCGATCTGGGATTGCATTCGGAAAAAAACCACAACATTTCTACAGCCTTAAACCTAACATCGAAATGTAGGGGCCTGTAAAAAAAAAACCAACATATTTCGCAGGAAAAAATTAATGTTTTAAATTTTCTCTTTCCTAAAAACACATTATAAAATACGATCCTAAATCGAACCCGTTTCCCGTTCAGATACCGATCTCCAGTGGGCCCCATGCCCTGTTGGGATCCCTGTTATAAATGCTAACTGAGATAAGTATTTCAAGAGCCTCGCATTCTAGGGATAATTATTAAACAAATCTATCAACAATATTTCACATTGTTCTATTTTGGAAAAACAGTTTGTATTCTTTCATCCAATTTCTCCATTCAACTTACTATCAAAACGCTTCTACTTGTATCCCCTTTCTCTCTGCCACTTACTACCAAAACGCTTCTACTTGTATATCCTTTCTCTCTGCCACTTACTACCAAAAGGCTTCTACTTGTATCCCCTTTCTCTCTTCCACTTACTACCACAACGTGTCTTCTTTCATCATCTTTCTCTCTTCCACTTACTACCACCACATGTCTTCTTTCATCATCTTTCTCTCTTCCACTTACTACCACCACGTGTCTTCTTTCATCATCTTTCTCTCTTCCACTTACTACCACCACATGTCTTCTTTCATCATCTTTCTCTCTTCCACTTACTACCACCACATGTCTTCTTTCATCATCTTTCTCTCTTCAACTTACTACCACCACGTGTCTTCTTTCATCATCTTTCTCTCTTCCACTTACTACCACCACATGTCTTCTTTCATCATCTTTCTCTCTTCAACTTATTACCTCCACGTGTCTTCTTTCATCATGTTTCTCTCTTCCACTTACTACCAAAACGTGTCTTCTTTCATCATGTTTCTCTCTTCCACTTACTACCACCACATGTCTTCTTTCATCATCCTTCTCTCTTCAACTTACTACCTCCACGTGTCTTCTTTCATCATCGCTCTCTCTTCCACTTACTACCACCACATGTCTTCTTTCATCATCTTTCTCTCTTCAACTTACTACCACCACGTGTCATCTTTCATCATCTTTCTCTCTTCCACTTACTACCACCACATGTCTTCTTTCATCATCTTTCTCTCTTCCACTTACTACCACCACATGTCTTCTTTCATTATCTTTCTCTCTTCAACTTACTACCACCACGTGTCTTCTTTCATCATCTTTCTCTCTTCCACTTACTACCACCAAGAGTCTTCTTTCATCATCTTTCTCTCTTCCACTTACTACCACCAAGAGTCTTCTTTCATCATCTTTCTCTCTTCCACTTACTACCACCACGTGTCTTCTTTCATCATCTTTCTCTCTTCCACTTACTACCACCACGTGTCTTCTTTCATCATCTTTCTCTCTTCCACTTTCTACCACCACATGTCTTCTTTCATCATCTTTCTCTCTTCAACTTACTACCACCACGTGTCTTCTTTCATCATCTTTCTCTCTTCCACTTACTACCACCACGTGTCTTCTTTCATCATCTTTCTCTCTTCCACTTTCTACCACCACATGTCTTCTTTCATCATCTTTCTCTCTTCAACTTACTACCACCACGTGTCTTCTTTCATCATCTTTCTCTCTTCCACTTACTACCACCACATGTCTTCTTTCATCATCTTTCTCTCTTCAACTTACTACCACCACGTGTCTTCTTTCATCATCTTTCTCTCTTCCACTTACTACCACCACATGTCTTCTTTCATCATCTTTCTCTCTTCCACTTACTACCACCACATGTCTTCTTTCATCATCTTTCTCTCTTCAACTTACTACCACCACGTGTCTTCTTTCATCATCTTTCTCTCTTCCACTTACTACCACCACATGTCTTCTTTCATCATCTTTCTCTCTTCCACTTACTACCACCACATGTCTTCTTTCATCATCTTTCTCTCTTCCACTTACTACCACCACATGTCTTCTTTCATCATCTTTCTCTCTTCTCGATCCTTGTGGATTCCGATCATGATAAGATCCCGTTGTCGGTGGGATCATGCCCCTTTTGGGATCCTGTTCCCCGATTATGATCTCGTTACCCGATCGGATCCCTTTTCAGATGGGATCCCCTTCCTGGTAGTATGTCTTTTGCCGGTGGGATCCCGTTACCGATGTGCCTGAAATGTGGGGTCCCATATGATAAATACTGGAGTTAAAATTTAAATATCTGATATCTGTATCTATATTTCTATCTACGGTCCTAAAATACAGTAAAGAAAAATTTTATAAATAAAACACTTTGAAGCTTGAAATTATAAAATTATTTATTACAAATCCAAATAATTGAAATAAAAATTACGAATAACATTAAACCTAATCCAAATGAGAAGGATGAAGTATATACGAACGGGTTTTTATTGTTTCTCATCTACTCTTACCAGGCCCGTTCTTAGGGATACGCTGACTAGGTATCCGCGTAAGGCCCCGAACGTGAGGGGGCCCCCGTGAATGGAGGGGCCGAGGTGGACGGTGTGTTTTCTCCTCAGCTCGAGGGAGCTCCACACCCGGCCCCCCCCCTCTTCCGGGTCCCCCAACCTACGAGCCATGCTTAGGGCCCCCAAACTCCTAAGAACGGCTCTGCTCTAACATCTTTTTGATTTCAGTGACCCCTTAATTAATGCCCCCCAAATGTACCCGATGCTACTATCGCTCTCTGGATCCTTCATGCACCCCCCACCCAAGGGGCGTATCGTCTACATTAAGAATCACTGGTCTAGACCAAGTCGGATTGGATAGGATATTGTTAATTTTAACACAAACGATAGTTCAATAAGGAATTATGAGATATTTTGCTACCAAGCTTGTCTTTTTTCCCATCAATTCACATTGAACTTATAGTATAGTCTAAGCCATTAGCTATGTATATAACTTATATAAGGAACAATGAAAAGCCCCCCCCCCCCCCCCCCCAATAAAAAAAACGATAGTTCAATAAGGAATTATGAGATATTTTGCTACCAAGCTTGTTTTTTTTCCCATCAATTCACATTGAACTTATAGTATAGTCTAAGCCATTAGCTATGTATATAACTTATATAAGGAACAATGAAAAGCCCCCCCCCCCCGGCCCCAAAGGAGTGGATGTTTTGAGTTCAGTTCTCTTCGGTATTTGAATATGGATAGCCAAGTGCATGTGTACTAGGCTTCTTCATGATCCATCAATTCATGTAGGAGTATTTGATGGTCATTTTATTTATAAAGCTCATATAAGGGGGAAAATCCAATTTAAGGCCTCCGGCCCCAAACGGAATGTTATAAAAAGTTCATGACCCTTTAAGAGTTCCTTCCAGATAATGATAGATATAGTGACCAAGTTTGGTCATGATCCTTAAATCTATGTAAAAACTTATGTGGAACACACCCACATACAAACAAACTTTCACTTTTATATATATATATATATATATGTTTATATATCTATATACATATATATATATATATATATATATTTCTATATTTATATGATATATAATGAATATGATAAATGAATAATTTTTTTAAAACATTTGAAAGATGCATTTTTTTCAAATTAAAAATTATAACATGTCTTTTTGACTAATTTTTAATTTTGAACATTAGCATTGAAATTGTAATATTTAAATTATTGAAAAAATTAAGAGTTATTAACTTTGTATACATTGAATGCCCACAATACCGTTAAAGTGACTTGAATCTTTAATCAGGCTTAAGACTGAAAAGAAGATCTAGGCTCACCCACCAACCCGCTTACTCGACGTAGTAAACGCGGACAACCACGATAACATGACCGACAGTGCCAACCCGACACCGTAGATCCAGTATTAAGTTTCCAGCCGTTCACCACGTGAACACGGCACCAGAAAGACTTAATCCTAAAATGTCGCGTGCAAACAAACATATAACGCACCACGAGATGGAACTGTTAGTAGCAATAAATTCTTTAAGAAAAAAAAAGACATTAATTATTTAGACTATTCCCTCATGATATCTGACTTATCAGACCACAGATATTCCCTCATGATATCTTACTTATCAGACCACAAATACCAGTATGTACCTTAGCCTGTGCCAATTTCAAGATTTAATGTTGCACTTTCAAAACCGAACCATTTCTACTCCCATAATACGTTATTCTATGAGAACTTATAAAACAAATGACTTACCGTATACAGGGGGCATTCTAAAACTAGGACTGAAAAACCGGGCCCCAGCATAAAAGATCAACATTATATCTGATCGGCTGTAAACAGTTCTTGCCATAAGCCTACACTTGAACTTGATAAAGTGCAAATCCAGGAACGTGCATTGGCAGGAGCCGATCGTAATGACAGCCGTCTCATTACACTTACTATGGTACAGCGAATAGAGTGTTTCTTTAATCTAAACACATTTAGTTTGAGAATAAATGATTAAAACATGGAGGATGAAGCAATGTTCTGTTATTTTTTCTAAAGAATTTAATTTTTATTTTATCTTGGATAATCTCGTAATTCATTTGTCTTTAAGATTAGAACTGTAATCCGGAATTCTAAATCTACTTTTCCTTTCACCCCTCATCACCTATCAGTATTATGTCTTTCATACTACCATGGTATCCAAATAGACACCGACCGTAAGTAATTTTTTTTTTTTTTTTTTTTTTTTTTATTTCGGCTGAAAACGAAACCAGAATAAAAAGTAAAAATTACTTTCGGCTCAAACCGAAGTCGGTAAAAAAAAGTTAAAGAGACTTTCGGCTAAATCCGAAAGATTGATATATTGTAAACGCGTTGGTGCATATGTTCATTGTACATCGAAAACGTATTGGCGCCCGGGGGGGGGGAGAGATTATCGTGAGCCTGAATAGAACAAAAACCATCTAATGAATACTTTGGCTGTTGGCTTTTCAATTGAAAATTAATTTAAAGTTGTTATCAAATAATTTTAAAGTAGTATGAACAGAGAACAGTTTCACTTAGGTGTGTGTGTGTGCGGGGGGGGTGGTAGAGAGAAGGGGGGGGGATTAATTACAAAATAAACCCTTGTATTCCAAATGGTCATTTTATTTCATTTAATTTTTTTTAATGAAGTTTAAAAATAAGTTAAATATCGAATATTTTCAAATAATATTAAATTGATTAAAATAGTGATAATTGATGTCAATAAGTTAATGTTTTTTTTTAAAATGTAGTTCTCAAACCTGTGTTAGGGATCTTCCTTTCGGAAATTATTATTTTCATAGGATTTCTTTAATAAAGTTTAAAATTATTCTTCCATCGGGCTAGGGGTACTCATAAGTTGTTTCATATGAACAAGAAAGTCTCAAGCGTTTCTGCACAAAGTTCTAGAAGAAATGTTTATCTCTACCACTTAGCAAGAGATAAGACGTGGCGATAATGACAGATGATCGGGTTTTGCGCGTAGAGTGGATCACGGCTGGACCCTTGTACTATAGCCTCATAGCTGTCTGAGAATGGGTCAATAAGCTACTTCATTGCCTCATAGCTATCTGAGAATGGGTCAATAAGCTACTCCATTGCCTCATAGCTATCTGAGAATGGGTCAATAAGCTACTCCATTGCCTCATAGCTATCTGAGAATGGGTCAATAAGCTTCTCCATTGTCTCATAGCTATCTGAGAATGGGTCAATAAGCTTCTCCATTGTCTCTTAGCTATCTAAGAATTGGGTCAATAAGCTACTCCATTGCCTCATAAAGATGGAAAGTTGTCTACAAAATGTGTATGTGTAGGAGATGCCACTTCAGAATAACATAATTGAACATGTTGTTAAAATGTTTGTACTAATGAGTTACTTACCATATAGCTTTTATCGGAGCCAAGATCCCGATAATAGAGGGCAAACTTTGCTATAAAACCGTATGGCATGTTAGTAATGTTTATAAGACCGTTTACTTCGAAATGGTCTTTCCCTGCAACCATTCCATATCCGCAACTGGCTTTGTACATGGCCAGGTCCAAAAAGAGTCTGCTTGGATCAATCCAACCGCTGCACACTGCGTGGGACAAACGAAAAACGTCAGACCATTTTGATGAGTGCAATTTGCTATTTCTGCGGGAAATTTTAATACTTTTTGGTAATATATCAACAGCTCCTAATTTTTCCTCGCATGATCCTCTTACTAACACATATTTTAAGAAAGCAGTTGAAGTGTTTTTTACAAAAACATTAAGAGCAGTCCAGACATTTTTTTTTAATATATCCAAAACCATTGAACAGGAATCAGTAAGTTTATCTCACTGTCGAAAATACTTTTAACCATAAGTGGCAAGAAGTAAATAAATAAACTTTTGTTTCTTTAAAAACCTACTGAAATATCCCATTAAGAACTGGCGTTATCGGGGATGTCGAGCTTGGGTCGCGAAGCGGCACATTGGAGGTGCCCCCCCCCTTGCCAGGACAGCCCCCCCACCCGAGTCCGCATGATCGGGCTGCGCGTGGCGCCGCCTAAACCCAAAGACACCCGTTCGGTCTGACACTGTGCTTGCACAAAGTGCACGAAGGTCTTACCTGTTAGGTAACCCACTACTAGAAGCAGTAGGACAACATGAAAGTCTTACCTGTTAGATAACCCACTACTAGAAGCAGTAGGACAACATGAAAGTCTTACCTGTTAGGTAACCCACTGCTAGAAGCAGTAGGACAGCATGAAAGTCTTACCTGTTAGGTAACCCACTACTAGAAGCAGTAGGACAACATAAAAGTCTGACCTGTTAGGTAACTCACTACTAGAACCAGTAGGACAACACGATGGGTTCCGGCATTTTCAAGCATTTTGCTGAGAAGTTTGATGTCAGTCAGAGAAATGATACCCCTAAATCATCCTGTCAAAATTTGTAAAAAATGCATAAAGATATAATTCTAATTTGTTTTTTTTTATTTTAAGTTCGTCATTAAATTATTTGTTTATCAGTTAAGTCTATCGGAGCTAAACGAAATCGTCATTTAAAAAAAAAAAAGAAGATTTCAAGAACAGGATAGCTACGTTTATGAGTGAGTAGAAATACTTGCAAGGAGATTTAGAGTTATCAAATACGTGAAATCAAAAGTATTCATGTATTTAACATTAGATAGAGGATGGTAGAAATATGACAACATTACTATAATCAACATTATATTGAAGATGTTATAAGTTATGACAACATTACTATAATCAACATGAGATTGAGGATTTTAAAAATTATGACAACATTGTTATATTCAACATTAGATTGGGGATGTTAAAAATTATGACAACATTGTTATATTCAACATTAGATTGGGGATGTTAAAATTATGACAACATTGTTATATTCAACATTAAATTGGGGATGTTAAAAATTATGACAACATTGTTATATTCAACATTAGATTGAGGATTTTAAAAATCATGACAACATTGTTATATTCAACATTAAATGGGGATGTTAAAAATTATGACAACATTGTTATATTAAACATTAGATTGAGGATGTTAAAAATTATGACAACATTGTTATATTCAACATTAGATTGGGGATGCTAAAAATTATGACAACATTGTTATATTCAACATTAGATTGAGGATGTTAAATAATATGACAACATTGTTATATTCAACATTAGATTGGGGATGTTAAAAATTATGACAACATTGTTATATTCAACATTAGATTGGGGATGTTAAAAATTATGACAACATTGTTAAATTCAACATTAGATTGGGGATGTTAAAAATTATGACAACATTGTTATATTCAACATTAGATTGGGGATGTTAAAAATTATGACAACATTGTTATATTCAACATTAGATTGGGGATGTTAAAAATTATGACCACATTGTTATATTTAACATTAGATTGGGGATGTTAAAAATTATGACAACATTGTTATATTAAACATTAGATTGAGGATGTTAAAAATTATGACAACTTTGTTCTATTCAACATTAGATTGAGGATGTTAAAAATTATGACAACTTTGTTATATTCAACATTAGATTGGGGATGTTAAAAATTATGACAACATTGTTATATTCAACATTAGATTGGGGATGTTAAAAATCATGACAACATTGTTATATTCAACATTAGATTGGGGATGTTAAAAATTATGACAACATTGTTATATTCAACATGAGATTGGGGATGTTAAAAATTATGACAACATTGTTATATTCAACATTAGATTGGGGATGTTAAAAATTATGACAACATTGTTATATTAAACATTAGATTGAGGATGTTAAAAATTATGGCAACATTGTTATATTCAACATTAGATTGGGGATGTTTAAAATTATGACAACATTGTTATATTCAACATTAGATTGAGGATGTTAAAAATCATGACAACATTGTTATATTCAACATTAGATTGGGGATGTTAAAAATTATGACAACATTGTTATATTCAACATTAGATTGGGGATGTTAAAAATTATGACAACATTGTTATATTCAACATTAGATTGGGGATGTTAAAAATTATGACCAACATTAGATTGGGGATGTTAAAAATTATGACAACATTGTTATATTCAACATTAGATTGGGGATGTTAAAAATTATGACAACATTGTTATATTCAACATTAGATTGGGGATGTTAAAAATTATGACAACATTGTTATATTCAACATTAGATTGGGGATGTTAAAAATTATGACCACATTGTTATATTCAACATTAGATTGAGGATGTTAAAAATTATGACAACATTGTTATATTCAACATTAGATTGAGGATGTTAAAAATTATGACAACATTGTTCTATTCAACATTAGATTGGGGATGTTAAAAACGGAACATAAATGATTTAAAGATACAGACCTCACCTGGTGTGATTAGGAACATCGACAAGGCAAACCACTGATCTGTGTTTTTCACATTCACGATCTTCTCAGTTTAGACATATGGACGAGGCTCTGGGATTGGAATAGTATTTGATAGAGATTAATGGATAATATCAAGGGAAAAAAATTAGCAGGCTCTATAAATGTGTTTAAACAAATGGTAAATAACATATTGTCAGTCGTTTGAAGTGATGTAGCACAACACACGTGTGTTTCAATTTGGCGGCTCACATGACAAAATCAACAAGTCCATGCTTCTGAAGCCATGCGTAAATTACGTCTATTTGCCATTGCCCTTTGATCGCACACCTTTCACGCCGGATACAAGCATGGATACAAACATGGATACAAGCATGGATACAAGCATGGATACAAACATGGATACAAACATAAATACAAGATGTTGAGTAATAAAGTGAAGAAAATGAAGAGGTCGTTTTGAACATAGTGTCCTTATTTTTGCGTTTGTTAGGGTTTCAATGTTTTTATTTCAAACAAGTAACATAAACAAATCTGGGAATGGTCTAGGTCTGTCGAGCAAATCTGAGAAGGGTCTAGGTCTGTCGAGAACCTCTGGGAATGGTCTAGGTCTGTCGAGCAAATCTGGTAAGGGTCTAGGTCTGTCGAGCAAATCTGGGAAGGGTCTAGGTCTGTCGAGCAAATCTGGGAAGGGTCTAGGTCTGTCGAGCAAATCTGGGAAGTGTCTAGTTGCCGCTATTACCTGGGAAGAGTCTAGTAGTTCTGTCACTCAATTTTTTTTTTAAATTGCCAAGATTTGGTTAAAACATCTCCCGAGATTTCCCACGATCATAAATATAGTTGTGTGTTGTTGTTTTTTTTTAAAAGAGGTTTTTTTATGTAAATAATGCAATAATAGCTGGAGCTATTGCCTCTTAAACAATGGTACAATAATTGACCCAAATTTATTTAATAAGACATTTAAAAAAATGTTTATTACATAAAAGAAATAAAAAAAATTGTTTTTGAAAAAAATAAAATAATTTAATATTAATTTATAATGCAAAATATCAATAAATAGCCTATAATATTAATATTCTATATTGATTTCCTTTGAGATTTTAAGATGTATGATCAGTTTCTTTTATTGTTGAGACTGCCCTGTACATTGGTGAGCAAGGTCAATTGGATCATCATTCAACACATGGATGTTATTTGTAAAACTTCAACGTTAAGAAAAAGAAAAAAAAATTGAATTTCTTTAGTTATTACCTTTTTAAAGACCGCACAATATTAACTTTAATTTCCCAAGATTTCATTCACATTTATGAGTGGTTTTAAAAAGTAAAACCATTCATTATGCATAAAAGAATTAAAACAATTAACGTTTTTCCTAGTTAATTTGTATCACATATATTGTCTTCGTTTTTTACAAATATGTAAAAAAAAAATCTGTCCCCTGTTAAGATTTCCCAAGGCTTTGCCTGATTTGCAAAATTTTTCCCCAGATCACAATGGAGGTCGCGAATTCGCAAGATCTTGTGAAATTTCCTAATGTGTGGTAACCCTGGAGTCTGAGTGTACCGCCAAAATCTAGCAAGGATCTAGGTGTGCCGAGGAAATTTGAGAATAGTCTAGGTGTGCCGTGGAAATTTGAGAATGGTCTAGGTGTGCCGTGGAAATTTGGGAATGGTCTAGGTGTGCCGTGGAATTTTGGGAATGGTCTAGGTGTGCCGTGGAAATTTGAGAATGGTCTAGGTGTGCCGTGGACATTTGAGAATGGTCTAGGTGTGCCGTGGAAATTTGAGAATGGTCTAGGTGTGCCGTGGAAATTTGGGAAGGGTCTAGGTGTGCCGTGGAAATTTGGGAAGGGTCTAGGCGTGCCGTGGGGGAAAGAGGATGGGGAGCACTGTTTTAGACTTTTACCTTTAGATTATAACCCATAATTTTTTTACTAAAAATGGTTGTGTTATCTTTGCATGTTATTATTATCGTTATTATAAGTGGTTTTATAGAGTGTGGTGCCCCAGCCTACAGCTGGGCTCACCGCACTGTACATACAATTTTACCAACATAATCAACAACTTAAAAATGTAATTAACCTGAATTAATTAAATAAAGCAAAATGTAAGTGTAATGAGAGATTTGAGTGACATGGCCCACTTGCATGACCTTCCAACGCAACGGAAGTCTCGCACTAACATGATTACTGTTGCCGTTGATGGGTATGAAGAAATGGGTGGCCGCCCAAACCCTTGCCAATGATTAAAAAGACGTGGCCCTGAGAAAACCGCCCCTAGGCGACCGTTTCGTCCCCGCTACGTCCCGACCGGACAACTCCCTGGGCGGTGGGGAGTGGTAACGCAACACTACCTCTCCGGAGAGGAAGTAAAGCCGTCCTGAGCCTTTGGAGAGTGGACTACGGACGCTTTAAATGCAGCGCCCTCGGTCCACTGGACGTCCCTCAGGCCAGGAGGGAGGTTCCTGGCGCGCTTCTGCATGGTCTGGAGTCGGGCCCGGCTCTGGCCCCTGTGGGGGAGTGCCAAGGGTGTTATTAATGAGTGCAAGCTTCACGACCCACAGACACCATCTCCAAAGTGACGTTATTAGTGATATGGCCTGTTACATAATTTAGTGGGGTTTTTTTAAGTTTAACACGCACAAACACATACACAATAACAAATAAATAGATGCTTGCAGGATTCTCTGCATACACACTTGCACTGGGACATTGCTTTCGAAGACCACATTCCTCTGGTGTTTAAAACTTTTGGAATACCACAAAATGGTGTTACTTTAGTATTGAAATGTATATTTCAATCTACATACGAGCACTTTAATAAGGTTACTTAGAGTTATAGCATTTACATGGTAAGAATGTTAAACCAAAACTGTTGTCACGGCGGTAGATTGGGCGTCTTCTTATTTTGAATGCAACCAGATGGCGGGGAAAAGGAACGCAATCTCCCAAACTTCTGATGGTTCACGTTTTTGATCTTACATCTTGTTACTAAACCAAACAAAAAAAAAAACAAAAACGAGAAAAAACTCGCAACAAAGATTCGTTCCTATAGAATAACTTTTAAACTAAGGAAGCGCATCTTGGTTTCTTGTCTAGTGCTTTAAGGTGCAAACATTTATATATTCGTTTTAGTGTGCAACTGCAATTTTGATTGATTTTTTAAAAAAAAATTCCTATTTTGTCTAAAACACAAATGGATCGTGTCCCAAAGATTTTAGGAATCGTTGATCCAAGTGAAGGGAAAGTCTTGTGCCACTCTCTGGGCAAGTCTGGTGGCACTGTCTGGGAAAAGTCTGGTGCCACTGGCTGGGTAAGTCTGGTCCCAAATGCCATGGGCTTGTTACGTTGATTCTATAGCATCAGGCACCTGGGTGACGATGACCCCATCAAAAGCCTAGCCGAAGGGTGGGTAAACAAAAGAAGGATTAAGAAAACATCCTTCCCACGAGTTGCTCGTGAACTCGAGTCCAAGATTGCCCTACCCACTCACAGACCTTGAGATCGTGGGTAAGACGAGCACAGACGAGGCCCAAGACCTGCCAAAGATTGTGGCATCCATACCAGTGAGCTGTGCTACGTCTACGTCACTGGCACAGGTCACGACAAGCGCCCAATAAGCCTTAGATGCTTACCCGACCGATAGTATCCACGTCTTCACTGACGGGTCTCTAGGACCCGGGAAGGCAAGTTTCGGCATATCTATGCGATTGCCCGACCGAGCACAACGCGTCCAACTAAGCGAGCCCTGCTGTACTTTGTCTCAGTTGCCGAAGCCGAGATAGAAGTGATCCAAGTAGCGATAAGAACACTGCTAAGGGGTTTAAGGGAGGCAATATCCCACCCAGCGACGTGATCGTGTTCATTGACTCTAGATCAACGCTTCAGGCACTAGGACAGTGTCCCGGCCGAAAGCTGGAGAACACCTTACGTGACATTGCTATGCTCAGAATGACTTATGGGAAGTCAGTAACAATGCAATGGATCCCGTCCCACTCACACCTGGGGGGTAACGATAGGGCTGATATGCTGACCAGCCGCAATCTTCTGGAGATCTGATATTCAAGGCGCCCCCATCATCAATCTTTATGGAGCCCTGGACGAACTCCGAAAGGCCGCCAGGTATTTCAGATTGCCGCTCGAGTAGGCAGCGCGGGCATAGCCAAGTCCCGTCCGACCGTAACAAGGGCGGACTCGCATGTCACCCCAAAAACCAGACCGAAGCAGAGATTGTCGAACAACGTGGCCCTCAGACCGACAGAACAAACCCAGGACAGGTGAAACGCCCGTGTGCGCTAGCCGAGTAGGGCGCCTGGAGCTCGTTGGAGTCAAGACCCACCGCCACGAAATTTGTCAACCAACGCATCAGACGGAGGGTTGCCGTGAACATTTCAAAAGGGGACAAGGGAAAGGTGGTGAGCAAACTGTTTTGGAATGATGACCCGGCTGTGTCGCGTGCAAAAATAATAAGCGAGGTGACAAGGTAGGAAAGACATAGCGCAGGGGCGACGAAGCCGTACCCCATGTAGACGGTGGAAGATGGGGGATAAGGTGGAATGAGGTTTCGTCTTAGGCAAAGAAAGAGACTTTTATTCTATGGGTTAAGTCTGGACCAGGCGGGAGTCTGGGAAACAGATCCGAGGCGTCGTCGTACGGATATGCTCGGGCGCCCCTGGAGGTCATTGCGCCGTAAGTCGGCCACGGGTGGGGCCTGGGGACATGCTCCTTTATTCATTTTCCCTATTAAGCTGGGTTGGCTCTACCTGCGCTCAGGACATTAACAAGCTGTTTGCTAATGGATGGAGTCGAAGCCCCACAGAAAGGAAAGGCTGGTCGGTGGCACATGCCCCGTTGTTCAGACAACTTTTGGTTGCGCACTTTGGATAGAAACTGTTGGAATTGTTCTTCGTCAACCCAGCCTGGTCGGTATTTCCGGGCCTATTTCAAAAAACGACCCCCAGTTTACGTGGGGGGAGGGGTCGTGAGCCAGGCAACCTGGCAACCGCTGATTAGCAGCGGGGAGGCCTTAGGATTTGCCGGATTTGCCGGATTAGGTCTGGGGCCGCTGTTCTTAGTGAGCGGCCGGTAAAGATTCTCGTGCTCGGTACCGCTTCTGCAGATTGTTTGTCATGTGCTACTGTCTGGGCAACTCTGGTGCTACTGTCTGGGCAATTCTATGCCACTGTCTGCCTAGCTTAGTCTTTTTTTCGGCCGATTTGCAAATACAGCGCCCAAATGACATGGGGGAGGGGCTGTGAGCCAGGCAACCACTCGACCGCTGATTAGCAGTGGGAAGGCCACTGGCCTCGGTCCGGCAGTACGTTTTCGGTTTCACTGGACAGGGTTGTGCATGCTGCTCTTCATCGAGTCTAAGGACGTGGCTCTTCGTGAGCGGCCGGTCAAGAGGTTCGTGCTCAGTACCGCTTCTGCAGATTGTGTGTCGGGTGCCAGCAGCTATCGTGGTAATGGCGAGACCTCTTACCTGGCGAGAGGCTGTTGTATCATTGGAAGGAGAGGTTGAGGTTATCACTCAAGTGCCTTGGAAAGAGGATCATCGAGATACGCACCCGAGTTGGCGCAACCGACACCACAGAGCCCAAATGGTGTTGGTCAAATGGATTGAAAGAAGCGAACTGGAAATCATGGTCTATCGTGTACAGTGTTTCTTCTAGACCATTTCCTCCGAGTGGGTGACATTTTTGGGTGGGCAGTGAGAGGGATAGCTAATAGGGCATAAAATGAAAGCTGTACCCGATCTCCTGACTAGCAAGGGCGGCGAAACTAGCGTGTTGCAGAGTTGAAAAGAAGGAGATACCAACAAATCTCGTCCCCCTAGCGCCAAACATCCTAGCTACGCCTGATTCAGAGGCGTAGAAAAGGGCAGGATTGGGTGGTCTACGCAAAGGCATTTTCGAAAAACTGCAGAGTTTTATCGTGAAAGTGAGCGTGGCAAAAATCTTCGCCATCCCTGGGAGGCACTAACTCTAGCCGCAAAGCTATACAGTGGATCTATCGGCCTCAAACCTGGGAGGCACTAACTCTAGCCACAAAGCTATACAGTGGATCTATCGGCCTCAAACCTGGGAGGCACTAACTCTAGCCACAAAGCTATACAGTGGATCTATCGGCCTCAAACCTGGGAGGCACTAACTCTAGCCACAAAGCTATACAGTGGATCTATCGGCCTCAAACCTGGGAGGCACTAACTCTAGCCACAAAGCTATACAGTGGATCTATCGGCCTCAAACCTGGGAGGCACTAACTCTAGCCACAAAGCTATACAGTGGATCTATCGGCCTCAAACCTGGGAGGCACTAACTCTAGCCACAAAGCTATACAGTGGATCTATCGGCCTCAAACCTGGGAGGCACTAACTCTAGCCACAAAGCTATACAGTGGATCTATCGGCCTCAAACCTGGGAGGCACTAACTCTAGCCACAAAGCTATACAGTGGATCTATCGGCCTCAAACCTGGGAGGCACTAACTCTAGCCACAAAGCTATACAGTGGATCTATCGGCCTCAAACCTGGGAGGCACTAACTCTAGCCACAAAGCTATACAGTGGATCTATCGGCCTCAAACCTGGGAGGCACTAACTCTAGCCACAAAGCTATACAGTGGATCTATCGGCCTCAAACCTGGGAGGCACTAACTCTAGCCACAAAGCTATACAGTGGATCTATCGGCCTCAAACCTGGGAGGCACTAACTCTAGCCACAAAGCTATACAGTGGATCTATCGGCCTCAAACCTGGGAGGCACTAACTCTAGCCACAAAGCTATACAGTGGATCTATCGGCCTCAAACCTGGGAGGCACTAACTCTAGCCACAAAGCTATACAGTGGATCTATCGGCCTCAAACCTGGGAGGCACTAACTCTAGCCGCAAAGCTATACAGTGGATCTATCGGCCTTAAACCTGGGAGGCACTAACTCTAGCCGCAAAGCTATACAGTGGATCTATCGGCCTCAAACCTGGGAGGCACTAACTCTAGCCGCAAAGCTATACGGTGGATCTATCGGCCTCAAACCTGGGAGGCACTAACTCTAGCCACAAAGCTATACAGTGGATCTATCGGCCTCAAACCTGGGAGGCACTAACTCTAGCCACAAAGCTATACAGTGGATCTATCGGCCTCAAACCTGGGAGGCACTAACTCTAGCCGCAAAGCTATACAGTGGATCTATCGGCCTCAAACCTGGGAGGCACTAACTCTAGCCACAAAGCTATACAGGAACTCTGCATAGCGAAGATGTGGTGGAGTAGGCCGGAACTCTGCATAGCAAAGATGTGGTGGAGTAGGAAAGAACTCTGCATAGCAAAGATGTGCTGGAGTAGGCAAGAACTCTGCATAGCAAAGATGTGGTGGAGTAGGCCAGAACTCTGCATAGCAAAGATGTGGTGGAGTAGGCAAGAACTCTGCATAGCAAAGATGTGGTGGAGTAAGCCAGAACTCTGCATAGCAAAGATGTGGTGGAGTAAGCCAGAACTCTGCATAGCAAAGATGTGGTGGAGTAGGCCAGAACTCTGCATAGCAAAGATGTGGTGGAGTAGGCAAGAACTCTGCATAGCAAAGATGTGGTGGAGTAGGCAAGAACTCTGCATAGCAAAGATGTGGTGGAGTAGGCAAGAACTCTGCATAGCAAAGATGTGGTGGAGTAGGCAAGAACTCTGCATAGCAAAGATGTGGTGGAGTAGGCAAGAACTCTGCATAGCAAAGATGTGGTGGAGTAGGCAAGAACTCTGCATAGCAAAGATGTGGTGGAGTAGGCAAGAACTCTGCATAGCAAAGATGTGGTGGAGTAGGCAAGAACTCTGCATAGCAAAGATGTGGTGGAGTAGGCAAGAACTCTGCATAGCAAAGATGTGGTGGAGTAGGCAAGAACTCTGCATAGCAAAGATGTGGTGGAGTAGGCCGGAACTCTGCATAGCAAAGATGTGGTGGAGTAGGCAAGAACTCTGCATAGCAAAGATGTGGTGGACTAAGCCAGAACTCTGCATAGCAAAGATGTGGTGGAGTAAGCCAGAACTCTGCATAGCAAAGATGTGTTGTAGTAGGACGGAACTCTGCATAG